AGTCCCCTGCCCACCTTAAAAGGGCCCCAAGTAGGGGCTAAAGGCCCTGGTTAAGTCAGAGGACTTTTATTTTTCTTAAAAGGGAAATTACTAAGATACCCAAATAAAAATGAGATTTATGCTAGAGCAGAAGCTCTTGGTCTGACCTTCAGTCCTAACATGGACAGGCACTCACTTCCTGGCCCAGGACTTCATTTCCCCACTATATGGAAGCTAGGATACCAAAGATCCTTTTTTTTTTCTTCTCTTGAAGTTCTGTGGTTCTATTTTTCCCTGCTTTTGCATGGCCAGGCAAACTAGGATGCAGCTTTGATCTACCTCGCACCAGCCACCTACCACCCACTCACATGGATTCTGGGCTTTCATTTTTGCTGGAGTAATATTTTTCTAACGATTATTTTTAAAAGTTCTGCATCTGTGGTGACCATCTCCCATTTGGAAAATTAACTGCTTACAGATGTTGCGTGTGGTACAGCATTCTCCCAGGCACTGAAACCACTGGGGTTTGGCTATCATTTCAAAAGTAAGAGGAGGGAAGGAAAGATGTATGTCTCTGATGTAGGTGGCAAAACTTGACTGTCTGTAAAATGCTCAAACGTGATTTACTTTTAGAAATTGAAGAGTGGAGAATTTCTTAAGGTTTGAGAGCCCAAGTGTTAAAAGGCTCACATGGAAATGGTCATTTGTGGGATGTTGATGGTCATTTGTGGAATGTTTGCAGAGGGAAGGCACTAGCTGCCTGCCTGCAGCTGAGTGAACTCCTACACTGTGCATAGAGTACAGAACTTAGCCCTCACCACCCCCATCCCCATGGTCAGCTGGGGCCAGTCAAGGTAGCGATTTCTCTTGCAGTCCAGGGTCTAGGTAAAGTCCACCCCCGCCTTGAGCAGAAACAGCAGATTCTTCTGACTCTAGGGTGCTGGGCAGACTCACTGGCTCTCTACCCTGTGTCATCCACCCAACCTTGATTTGGATGTTTGGTTTCTGCCTGCCCTAAGCGCTTGCACACATCCTCCTCAAGACCTCCATCTCCAGGCATCACCTTTGCTCCTCTCCTCCCCACACAGCAGAAGATCGTTCCAGGACTAAAAAGACATTTTATGAGATCCCAAGGAACTCACGCACAAAGCTCATTTTTTGCTTTCTTATTCATTGGGCAGCCCCGGCTTCTGCCGCCTCAACAGTTCTCAAATACAGGCTCAACTCGGGAGAAGGAGCCATAGCTAGCTCTTTGTGTGGATGTTGATGGTGTGTATATGTGTGGTGTGTGTGTATCTGCAGAGTTCCATTTGTCTACATGGAGTGTGCACATGTGCTGGTATTTGTGGCTGGGAGGAATTGACAGGACAAGAGCTCCTTTCCCCAGATGGGGCTGGTTCACCCTGGGTCAGGCATTTTTCTTGCGTGGATCTGGGACAGCTTCCTTTTTGCTACTTTTCCATTTCTCTCTCTCAGTTGATTTTGCTTGTCTTCATTTCTTTCCACCAGAAGATTTCTATAGCCTTTGCCCTGTGAGAATGACTAATGAGAAATAAAAATTTATTTGAGCAGCAGAGGAACTCAGAGACTGTCTCTCAAGTCTACTGCATCTGACTGTTTTAAATGTGAGAAGACTGAGGCCCATTCTGTGCAGTGCATTTGAACAGAAATTTCATGCTTGTTCCACATCAGTAGGTTTAAATGTTGTGTTTATGTTTTGCATTTCTGGTAAGATTTTCTTTTTGAAAGAGACACTCAAAAAGTGGGTGTATAGGCACTTTTTCACTATAGGCAGATGGATGAGGATTTAGAATGTGGAGGTTTAGAAGAGAAAACTCAAGATAGACACAGTTTGTTTTTAAGGGAGAAAAATGAAAAGGCAAAATATTAATGTCACTTATTCAAGACTGTGGAATAAATATGGGAGAAATAAATTGAGTGTGTGATAAATTTATGAATAGTGACAGTGTTTCCTCTTGGAATGTGATAACCATTTAAAAAAACTCCATGCAATAATAGAAATTCAGTAGGTGATATGTTTTGGCTGTGTCCCCACCCAAATCTCAACTTGAATTTTATCTCCCAAAATTCCTATGTGTTGTGGGAGGGACCCAGGGGAAGGTAATTGAATCATGGCGGCCAGTCTTTCCTGTGCTATTCTTGATATAGTGAGTAAGTCTCATGAGATCTGATGGGTTTATCAAGGGTTTCTGCTTTTGCATCTTCATTTTTCTCTTGTCACCACTATATAAGAAGTGCCTTTTGCCTCTCGCCATTATCCAGAGGCCTCCCCAGCCACGTGGAACTGTAAGTCCAATTAAACCTCTTTTTGTTCCCAGTTTTGCATATGTCTTTATCAGCATTTATCTATTATCTATGTCTTTATTAGTGAAAAAAAACTAACAGAACAGGAAACATTGATACGTTGTAATCTTAAATCTCCTTTTACATATATAACAAACAGAAACAACCCTTTTTCAAAGAAGTAACATGGAAATTTACCAACCATGTTGATCATTTAAAAGAGGCATGTCTAGACTAAGTGGGAGGAAAGAGGGAGGGAGGAGATAGATGAAGGGTAAAGGCCACTGATGGGAAATAATAGCATGTGGATTAGGGTTCCCGTTGAGTAATTGGATGAATATGGGGAAAATTTGTTTGCATGTTAACATATCAGGGACTATGTCTTTATCTAATATTCTTGCATCTCAAAATAAGTATCAAACAAAAGATCCATTTTTAGGCTCTAAATCTGGGACAAAGAGAAGGAAATGGACAATTGCTTTCCAGGTGATCACACAGAGAATCTTTTCTTATTATGCAAGACTTATTTCTTATTGTGAAGACTTTAAAGGGCTCCTTTGGATGAAAACCGTTGTAATCTTGATTGGGGAGACTGGTTAGACCTAGCCTAGATTTTAATGCGCTCTATGCCTCTCAAAGATAATAGGACCCCCGGTTTACAGAAATGCATAGCTTCTCTTTCTTTTGGTCACCATCTGTTTTCTAGTTGATTTGTGCTTGATCCACATGATGCCAAACAACTAGTTTGAATGGTTTTTGTTGCACTAAATGGATGAGACTGACCTATTTGACATCCTGTGGCGACAAATCCCAGCACTGGGGCCCAGGGCTTGCTGAGAGAACAAGGCTCCCCTTTCTGGAAGGCAAGTTTGAGTGTTACTGTACATCTGAGATATTTTGATATTGTAGACCTGTAAGCATATGTTCTCAGTGGTTTCAGAGTAGGTCTGGAAAAAACAACAACCAGCCAAAGCAAACCTAAACTGGAGGCGCTAGAAACTGGGATTTAGTGACAGGTCCCAGAAGGCACATGGCTCTGAAGAAAGAGATGTGGTCGGTGCTGTGGGCTGTTAGGTGCTGCTGCTGTAGTCAATGCCAGCCCCTGGGTTGTGGCAGCTGCTGCCCGGGGAAGGGGCCATGAGAAAGACCAGGTGCCAGGCAAGGTGAGTGGTTGGCAGTCTCAGCCTGCTGGAGTGTGAATCTCTATAGGGGGCATCCAGACATTGGTGGACCACATCAGGAATATATTGCCAATTGACTTATACATGCAAATATGACTTTTTTTCTTTATTTTGTATGACACATTTATAGGTCACTCCAGTAACGCCGAGTCAAGCTGCTGCTATTTGCTTGATGCTGGCTCTTGCAGTTGCTACAATTCTGAGACAAGTTGGCCCAATATATATACTAGTTACAAATGGTATTATTAGGCAAATTTAAGGCCTTTTATGATGCTCCCTGCTTTCCCCAGTAAATTGGTTGGGAAAATTACCTGTGATAAATATCATGTGCTAAACCTAAAGAAAGAAGTAGAAAATCTTATTAATGTAAAATAAGATTACTTCTGAATATGTAACTGAATGTTAAACAATGAAAGGAGGCCAGACACATGGCTTACGCCTGTAATCCCAACACTTTGGGAAACCCAAAATGGGAGGATTGCTTGAGTCCAGGAGTTTCAGACCAGCCTGGGCAACATAGTGAGACCTTCTCTCTGCAAAAAATAAGCAGAATTAGCCAGGCATGGTGGCATGTGCTTGTTCCAGCTACTTAGGAGGCTGATGTGGGAGGATTGCTTGAGCCTGGGAGGTCAAGGCTGCAGTGAGCTGAGAATGGTGCTGCTGTACTACAGCCTGGGTGACAGAATGAGACCCTGTCTCACAAAACAAACAAGAGCAGCTATGGAGTGTTAGGAGAGCCCAGGTGGTTTATGAATGTCATTGTTTATATGACTTACAACAATGCAGTGAGGTAGGTATTATTACTTCCATTTTACAGAGGAGAAAGTTAAGGTTCAGAAAGGAAATGGAACCTGACTTCAGGTCACACAGCTTGTGTCAAGGTTGGAATTCCAACCCAGGCAGTGGAGCAACAGGGGTCCAGTTCTTAAGCTCTCTGCTACACTGAATATAAATACTAAAACAACAACACAACGTTGGATGAAGAGCCATCAAATCATTAGTCTGCCTGGTGTCAGTCCCCATGTGTTGCGTGGTCTGGCTCCATGTGGCCGAAATGCCAGAGCAGAACCTTGGTGCAGTGATAACATCTTAATTTATATGGAAGGGCGAATATGCTTCAGGTAAAGTAAATAGGACAGAGAGGCTCAGGCCGCAGATAGGGTAGATAGGGTTTCCAAGTGGATCCACAGAGCCTTCAACTCCCAGGAGGTGTGTCTTGAAAAATGCTGTGTTAGGGGATGGAGGGATGAAGCCTGGAAAGGGGCTCTCTGGGGTAAGATAAGAAAGTGCCTTTCTCATTAAGGAGGTGAGGCCAGGGGCTGGGGCAGGAGGGCTCTACAGGGCCCACCTGTGATGAGCATGCAGAAAATGCCACTCAGGTGTGGCATTTTTGTGATGGTGGTGAGTGACCTGCAACTCGAAACTTGCTTTCTAACACCGTTCAGGCTCCAGCAAATGCTTCTCCATTTGTTCCTGGTGGTATGTCCTGGAAATGAAAGGTACCTGTGTTCCCATGTGAAGTAGTTTTGTGGGCTGTGTTACTACAGATAGCAGAGGACACTGATCCAAGTTCAGGGAGGATTTCAGTGCCAGAGACACAGGTAGGGAAAAGGAAACTACCACCGAACTTTTGAAAACATTCATCTCAGGTAATATAAATGCTATAGATTCTTACCAAGTATTTTCCAGAAGTACTAAGTATCCCTTTTTCTGCTTTTCTCCAACTTCAAATTTCTGATGCTGGGGTTATTCAGGAATCTGTGTGGTATTTGCAACTGCATCCAATGGCTGTGGAATATTTGCAACACGAAACAATTGATGTTTGTATCTTAATTTGGATCTATGTACCTCTACATATAATGTGTGTGAGGCATATCATCCATCCTTTACTTCAGAAGGCAACCAACCAGTTAGACTTAGGATGCTAGAACTGCAATGCTTTATTGCAATTAAAAATTAAAGGATGCACCTGTAATCCCAGGACTTTGGGAGGCCAAGGCAGGCAGATTGCTTGAGATCAGGAGTTTGAGACCAGCTGGGCCAACATGGTAAAACCCTGTCTTTACTAAAAAAAAAAAAAAAAAAAAAAAAAAAAAAAAAATTAGCCATGTATGGTGGCAGGTGCCTGTAGTCCCAGCTATTGGGGAGGCTAAAGCAAGAGAATTGCTTGAACCTGGGAGGTGGAAGGTGCAGTGAGCCAAGATCATGCCACTGCACTCCAGCCTGGGTAACAGAGCGAGACTCTATCTCAAATTAAAAGAAAAAAGGATGTTTTATCTTTATAAAAACATTAAACATGACCTAATTAAATTTTCAGAAAATTAAAATGTCATTACTTAAAATTTTATATTCATTAATTATAATTTGTATCTGCCTTTTAATTTTAATAGCTAATGTTAAATATTAAAATACTATTAAATTAAATATATATTGATATAGTTTGGCTGTGTCCTCACCCAAATCTCATCTTGAATTCCCAAGTGTTGTGGAAGGGACCCTGTGGGAGGTAATTGAATCATGGGGCAAGTCTTCCCCGTGCTGTTCTCATAATCGTGAATAAGGTTCACAAGATATGATGGTTTTATAAAGAGGAGGTCCCCTGCACGAGCTCTTTCTGCCTGCTGCCATCCATAAGGTGTGACTTGCTCCTCCTTGCCTTCCACCGTGATTGTGAGGCCTCCCCAGCTACGTGGAACTGTTAGTCCATTAAACTTATTTTTCTTCCCAGTCTTGAGTATGTCTTTAACAGCAGCATGAAAATGGACTAATACACATATGTAAAAATATTAGATGAAATATATTTATATTGAACACATTTTGAATAGAATCACATTTTAATCCTCTTTATTATTGAGAATGAATATAAGTCAAGATTGTGTTAAAAAGATAAAATAGGGCGAAGTTCAGAAGCTGAAAAGCAATAAAATCAGTGAGATAATCTACTTAACACTAACACTGGAGAAATAATATAAATGAGTAGGCGTTTGTTGGACTAGCCCACAAACCTTACAAATTTTTGACTTAATGTAGATCTAATTAGTGATCAAAACAATGAGAATGTAAAAGGGAATTATTCATATCAATTTCACAATTCAGAAGCCACAGATGGATGCAACTTGTTCCTGCCTAGGAGACATAAAGGAAGCTACAATCAGGAAATTAGCCCAACAGGAGGAGAGATGAAACTGAAACCTTGGGGGCTTTACTGTACCTGTGGGAGACGAATTAGGAAAATAACTTTTTTTTTTTTTTTTTTTAAGATGAAGTCTCACTCAGTCACCAAGTCTGCAGTGGAGTGCTATGATCTAAACTCACTGCAACCTCCTCCTCCCAGGTTCAAGTGATTCTCCAGCTTCAGCCTCCTGAGTAGCTGGGATTATAAGGCATGTGCCACCACTCCCAGCTAATTTTTATAGTTTTAGTAGACAGGGTTTCACCATGTTGGCTAGGCTTCTCTCAAACTCCTAGCCTCAAGATCCTCCTGCCTCAGCCTCCCAAAGTGTTGGGATAATAGGCATGAGCCACCGCACCCAGCCAAAGTGGCCTTCTTATAGCAGGAGACTGTGTCTTCAAAACACAGCCCATCCAAGTGAATGGTTACAATTCTTGGATGAACATGGCAGAACATCTAATACTCCATTTTACACCTACATTCTTCCAACTGGGGAAAGACGTTGTAGAAACTGGCTTTTATATGCTAAGTTCAAATACAAAATATTCTGTGAATTCTATGCCAATCATCACCAATCTTGAAGATTAGCTTTGGTTAAATAATGTATTACGGCCAGAAAAGGAAAGCCCTGTGCACACACAGAAAGCACACAATCAACTGTTTGAGAAAACAAGATTAATAAGCAGCAGACAATGAGTATTCAGCAAAGACAAGTAAACACCAATAAAGAACATCTGCCATAATATTCCTAAAAGAGACATTTAGCCAAACAAAATGATGCTTTTTATAGCCTTAATAATACGCTCTTTATGGGAAACAATGAAAAGTGTTTTGGGTTTTGTATGAATGATTAAAAAATTTGCTGCTAGGGCGATCAAACATGAAAGAGATTAAAAACACACACAAATGATCTCTACTGAGGAGTGAGATTTAAAAAGGATTATTAAATTAAGGGATAATAAAATGATACAAATATATAACATTTAAAAAAGTAAATATTTAGTTCAACTAGATTGTAGCAGTCAAAAGTCAAGTTGAATGACTCACTATTTTTTTGTTTTTATTTTTGGAGACAGTCTTGCCCTGTCACTCAGGTTGGAGTAGTGCAATCTTGGCTCACTGCAGCCTCCACCTCCTGGGTTTAAGCAATTCTCCTGCCTCAGCCTCCTGAGTAGCTGGAATTACAGGCTTGAGCCACCATGCCCAGCTAATCTTTTTGTATTTTTAGTAGAGATGGGATTTCATCATGTTGTCCAGGCTGGTCTTGAACTCCTGGCCTCAAGTGATCCTCCTGCCTCAGGCTCCCAAAGTGCTGGGATTACAGGCATGAGTCACTGTGCCCAGCCCGAATGACTCACATTTATGCTACTCATTGTTAAACTATCAGAAGGGAAAAACAAGGAACTTCAAATTAATAAGTATTTTATTGGTTTTACCCTTCTGAAAAATATAGCTTTCGTCTTAAGACACAGCTTTAAATTTTAGCCATTGATCTAAAATATTATTGAGGGTAAGCCTAAGATAATGATGTTAACATGGTTGTTAAAGAAAAAGGAATGCAATCCAGAATCCTGGCTGAAAATATAGAAGCATTGTTTGAACTGTAGTTTGAATTTTAGCAAGGAAATGCAGGCTTTACCTGTGCTGATAGCAATGGTATTCCTTGGAACAATTCAAAGATCATTTACATGGTTTTCTATATCTCTCTAAAGGTGGAACATATTGATGAAACACAAACCAAATCTGACCTTACAACATGCTTGGATACACAATGGGAATTCTAATGAAATGCTATCAAAGTAATTAGATTTAATTAGGCAAGATGTGAAATACATTAATAGAGCTAAGCAAAACCACAGAAAATCCTCAAAGAGCAAATCTCAGTCTTTGCAAAAAGTGAAATTAATTTTCAATCTCGCCATTCAGTTATTCGTTATGAACTACTGCTTGCTGTAAGCAATGTTAGCTGAGAAATAAAACCATGGTCTCTTTAAATTTTATTTCACTTTTAAATGGATTCTACAAATATATCTAAAGATTTAGAGAAAATTGTTATTCTAAATAACAAAGATGCATGATAAATATGTAACAAAAGTAAAATTCCCGTAAGATCTAAGGAAATTCCAACAAGAAAACAAAAGCATTTGCATGACAATCAAGGAGAAGGTTCACATATATACAGTCTGGAAACTGATGTCTGCAGACTGTTTTGCAGCCATTCTAGATTAAGATATTGTATTGATTGAAGAGAAGTCTAAACAAACTACTATATTGGTATTTTTTCTTTGTAAATTGGATTTTCAATTGTGTAGGGTGAGGATGTGGTACCCCGACCCCACTGTTGTTCAAGGGCCAACCGGAATTATAGTATACCTTTACTGAATTACCCACATAAATATCAGCTCATCACAGTATGCAACCAGACACGTGCAGTCAGCTGTCTTTGATATTTTGTCAACTTTTAGCCTGTAAAAACTTAGTTTTGCACACATTTTTCTGTTTTGATGTTATAAAAGTTGTATTTGTCAGGAAGGAGGAAATAACATACTGCATTTAACAATTTTTAGCTTAATCTATAACTTTTAAATATTTAGATATATGATATTTTGGGCTTAAATACTGAGTTGACATCCAGGTGAATGTGCATTTAGCTTTGAGGAAAAGGTTTGAGAGTCCACACTGGGAGGGAAGATGAGGAAACAAATTTGAGATTGAACTGAAAATTCTTCCACATAAGGAGGTCTTGCAAACCCAAAGCCCTTTCTGTTAAGATGGCAGTTTTCCACCTTGGTTAGCCATTAGAATCATCTGGGAGAATTTAAACATGCTGATGCCCAGGCTCCCCACTATGTACAGCTTTGGATTTAGTGGTCTAGGTTGAGGCCTGAGCATCAGTGCTTTAGAAACTTTGCAGGACTGGGCCGAGTGCAGTGGTGTTTATAACTAATTGATCACAACCAGTTATAGACTTCTTGTTTCTTCTCTGCCCCCATTGCTTCACTTGATTAGCCTTAAACACCACCACAAATCTTCCCAGGTGATTCTAATGTGCAGCCAGCACTGGGACTAGCTATCAGTAACTTGGATAGCAAACAGCATCCTGACAGGGTTGAAAGAACTTTGAAGCCAGGTGGTGCCATGGCTAGAGTGTGGTTACATTATGTCAGGCCTAGGTCAGACTAAGGTTTGCAGGATTGAAAGAGGCTGTCATTACAGAGAAAGAGCATGTAGGCCTTGTCATCCATTAAATTGACACTTAATGCACTTCAGTGTTTCCTGAACTGAGGATACAGAAAGGAATAAAATATTAATTCCAAAAATGGGGAACAGATGTGTAAACAAAATCAACAAAGTATTACAAATATTATGGTAAAAATGTATATGGGGCACAGTAGAGGCACAATTCCATATAGGAAGGAAGGGTAGGTGAAGGCAGTCTAAGTTGAGTCTTGAAAGACATGAGGTTATCAGGGAGCTTTTGGGGTTGAAGATCAGGAGTTTATGGGGAGACTTCTTGAATTGAGCAGGATAGGAAAGTCAGGTGTATTCGAGAGCAGGAGGAGACCCATGGGAACAGACACAGTAAGAGTGAGGTAGGAACATGGGAAAGTGTATTAGCCTGTTCTCAATTTGCTAATGAAGACACACCTGAGACTGGGTAATTTATAAAGGAACTTGAATAGACTCACAGTTTCACATGGTGGGGGAGGCCTCACAATCATGGTGGAAGGTGAAAGAAGAGCAAGGCATGTCTTACATGACAGCAGGCAAGAAGAGCATGTGTAGCGGAACTACCTTTTGTAAAACCATCAGATCTTGTGAGACATATTTACAGATCTTCTGAGACGTATTTACTAACATGAGAATAGCATGGGAAAGACCCGGCCCTGTGACTCAGTTACCTCCTATTGGGTCCCTCCCATGACACGTGGGAATTACGGGAGCTACAATTCAAGATGAAATTTGGGTGGGGACACAACCAAACCATATCAGAAGGCATTGCTAGGATGAGTGGCCAACTTCTCTTTGGTCTGGAGCCAATTTTATATAGGCCTTGAGTGCGCTTTTTGAGCAACATTTCGGAGCATCTTCAAACTGGGTTTCCAGCAGCACTTTTCAGGAGGTTTGATGGCATGGGAAGGGAATCGATTTCCAGATCCTTAACTTCCATAGGTATTTTTCTGAAAATTTCCCTGCCCCAAAGCAGGTGCTGGAGCCATTCTCTCAGCAGCTTTAAGCTGTTTGTCCTCCTGTAATTATCCTCTATGCTTTGCACAGGTCAGCAGTGTCCCTTTGTGATCTGCTACCCTGCAGTGCTACCTCAGAGGCACCAAATGAAAAGATGAGAAATACCGGTTTCAGGGACCTCGTTTGCTGTTAGTCGAAGAACCCAACCTGCCTCCTGGTTTTGCATCTTACACGTTTCCCGTCGTTGATTCCTAATCCTACTTAGAGTTAACATTTATCCCTCCACTTGCCCCTCCCACTCTGGCAACTAAGCAAAATGTGAAAGGCATAACGACATAGCTTCATTAACCCTCCCTGTTTGTTGTCCTACCTGTTACATCTACATCATTGAAAACGCCAGCAGATGATATAGTTTTTGCTTTCAACATTCACACTTACTATAAAGAACTTAAGAATAAAAAAGTGCCTTCCATGATACATTACTTTGTTTAACACCACGGTAACCCTGTACTTTTGTTAGATGACTGCAGACACTATGATTCCCATGATAAGCACAGGAACATGACGCTCAGCCCGGAGAAATTAAGAGATTTGACCTAGTCTCCTGCTTGTGAGTGCTGGAACTGGGTTTTATACCCCGATACTTAAAGTCAGATTTCCAAATCCAGTATTCTTTTCTACATGCTAAATGACTTCTCTCATAGCATGGATGTGAGCTTGTTTTAGGAGGCAACACAGAAAGGAACATGTTATTCTACTGAGTCTTGAAGGAAAAGAATTAGAGCATCCCCAAGTGTACTTGTAGGAAGTAAGGAGGGAGAACCACAAGGGTGGGAGAATCTGTGTGATGCTGGAATCTGTGGGAATAACAAAAGGGCTGCCCAGGGAGGAGGCCTGGCTGGGGTCATGGGACTCTGAGGCCCAAATAGGAAAACACCTGCCTGTCCCCAGCCCCAGATCTGCTATCAGGCACTGCCCCTACTTTATGCCTCTTGGTGGTAGTGGGGGCCAACAGGTGAGGGTCCCAGGGAAGCTTCTTTGACTCTCAACAGTGACTCTCCATCGGGGGTCCTCAGTATGCAAAATGGTCTGACTTTATTTTTCTGGGCCATTCTAGAAGAAAACCCTGACTTGGCAATGGGAAGGGGAGGGGAGTTTCTGTAGTGGGGAGGGCCTTGCCCAGCAGGAGTCTGAGCTGCAGGCTGAGCTGAGGGGGTACAGACAGCTGATGGGATGATGACTGCAACAGAATGAATGTCCACTGCAGCTGAATGAAAGTTCCACATGTTTTGGGACATTTGCTATTTCCAACATGTTGGCTCTGAAAATTTGGGTGAGAAGCTTAAAAGCTGCAGATATAGCAAATGGCCAAGTGTGAATCCCTGATCCGTCACTTATTGTCTTGGGGTCTTAGGCAAGTGAATTGACCTCTAGGCCCCATTGCCTCATCTGTAAAATGGGGATGATGGGATCACCTGGTGGGCTTCCTATGGCACTTGGTACAGGCACATTCATCTTCGATTTTTCTAGACTGGCCACTGCTGGAGGGCCAGGACTGCATTGCCAGTGACTAGCATAGTCCCAGGCTTACTGCAAGTGCTGCTTGACAAATGGCTGCTGACTACAAATGACTACAAGGAATCAGTAGGTGTTTGTGGATTCTTGAGTCAGACAGATCTGAGTTCAAATCCTAGCTTCACTATTTGTGAATTGTGAGTCAGTTTCCTCCCACCTCCCTTGCCTTGTCTATAAAGTGAAGACAGCTGGAGAGCATGCCTTATAGGTTGTTATGAAAATGAAAAAGAGGGAATACAAGGGTAGTAAACCATCAAGAAATCCCAGCGGCCATTACTGCACACAGGTGTGAGGGAAGCAGGAAATGAGGTGTCAGGCAGCCTGCACCCAAGTTCCTGGTCTCATAAATCACCAGCTCTCTTACCTTGGACAAGTCACCACTACTTTATCTTTCTGAGCCTTGTTTTCTTACCTGTCACAGAGATGTTGATGCTCTGTTGCCTCAGGACCGTTGTATAGTTCAGATGAGATGATATATAGGAAAGTTTGGCATCCATGAAGCACTAACCAAGTGTAAAGAATTATTATTCTCTGACCCCAATGGCTTCAACCTCCTCAGTCCTCTGAGGGATGTCAGAGTCCTCAGGAAGGGGCCCCAAGAGTGCTGTCAAATTCCTTTCCTTGCCTGAAAATTTCTTTTCACGAGAGTCTGCTGCCCTCTGGTGGGTGTTATTGCCATATTGCAAAAACTTCTTGGAGAAGATTAAGCATCTTGGCTTTGTGGGTTGGAGGCTATAGCATATCTGGGAGCATGAGCTATGAATAGGGACGGTGGCCTATCTCCTAGCCCTCCAGGGTAGTAGTACTTGGAGTGAGGTCTCTAATCAGCAGCATCAGCATCACCTGGGTGTTTGATAGAACCAAACACCCTACAGCTGACCGATGAAGCAGAAACCGGAGGGGTGGGGCCCAGCAGTCTGTGCTTTAACGTGATCTCCAGGCTTTCGCTTGCTGAGCTTCGAGAACCACTGTTCTAGGGACTCCAGGACCTCAGACTTAGAAGGGAGGGGCTGGAGAAGAGGTGGGAAGGGCAGTGGCTTTGATTGTGTGTGGCCACATAGCTCTCTGGGGCGGGGGGTGAAAAATATTAAAACTGCAGATTTAAAAGAATAGGAGAATTGGCTGGGTACAGTGGCTCACGCCTATACTCCCAGCAATTTGGGAGGCCGAGGTGGGAGGATCACTTGAAGCCAGGCATTCAAGACCAGCCTGAACAACATAGCAAGACCCTGTTTCTACACAGAAATTTAAGAAAAATTAGCTAGACATGGTGGTGGGCACCTGTAATTCCAACAACTTGGAAGCTGAGGTGGGAGGATCACTAGAGCCCAGGAGTTTGAGGATGCAGTCAGCCATGATTGTGCCACTGAACTCCAGCCTGGGTGAAGAGCGAGACCCTATCTCAAGAAAGAAAAAAGTCAGAATAAATACCAAATATCCTTCACTAGATTTGCCAGTTGTCACCAGTTTGCCACATTTCATCAATCTCCGCTTTTCTACATTTCTTTTATGCTGATCCATTTGAAAGAAAACGGTAGAAATCACAGCACTTCACTCTCACATATTTAAAAGGCATTTTGTAAAAGAAACTTCTGTGTATCCATGCTATTATCACAACTAAGAAAATTAATAATTTTAATTTATATTCTATATTCAAATTTCCCCAATTTGCTCTAAGATATTTTTTATTTGCATGTGTTTTAAATCTGAGATCTAATCCAAATTTATGCATCATATTCTTTTTAGTACCTTTTAATCAAAAACAGCCCACTGTTTTTGACTTTTTTTTTCTTTCTTTTTTTTTTGTTGAGACAGGATCTCACTCTGTTACCCAGGCTGGAGTGCAGTAGTGCCATTTTGGCTCACTGCAACCTCTGCCTCCCAGGTTCAAGTGATTCTCCTGCTTCAACCCACCTAGTAGCTGGGATTACAGACGCCTGCCACCACATCTGGCTAATTTTTATATTTTTAGTAGAGAAGGGATTTCACCACATTGGCCAGACTGGCCTCGAACTCCTGACCTCAGGTGATCCACCCACCTCGGCCTCTTAAAGTGCTGGGATTATAGGCATGAGCCACCATGCCTGGCTGACTTTTCTTTTCTTTTTTTTTAAAAATGAAACTTTCTTGAAGAATTCAGGCCTGTCGTGTTATAGAGAGTCTTGGCTGACTGCAACCTTCACCTCCCAGGTTCGATTCTCTTGCCTCAGCCTCCTGAGTAGCTGGGATTTCACGTGTGAGCCACCGTGCCTAGCTAATTTTTATATTTTTAGTAGAGATGGGGTTTCACCATGTTGGCCAGGCTGTTTCAAACTCCTGACCTCAGGTGATACACTCACTTTAGCCTTCCAAAGTGCTAGGATTACAGGCGTGAGCCACTGTACCCAGCCTCCTTCCACTTTTCATTCCTCTGATTTGGCAGTTAATTCTTGATGTCTTCCATTTTTTTTTTCACCTGGAAATTTAACATACATATTTAGCTTGATTTCTCAAGTTAATATCTTTACTCTTCTGACCAACTCAACGACTTGAGCATGCTTGGGCTCTAAGCACTCCCTGCTGACTTACATGACACTGTTGCTCAGTGTTTTACTTTTGTCTTATATGTCTGGAAGCACCTAAAGTAGACATTACAACTGTTGTTTATATATCGATGTTCATATAGGTTTGTTCACACGTTAACCACTTTGCGTTCTCTCTTTTGTACATTTTAGACTTTAGAGTTCTCTTACTGAAGGTCTGTTTATAACAAACTCTGTTTTGCTTTGTTTACAAATTTATTCTTAAAGGGTAGTTTTATTTGGTGCTAAATCTAGGTAGTGGTTACTATCTCTGAAGTTCAACTTCCTAATCTGTTAAAAGTGGAGAGTAAATGTCTTCCTTAGTGATTTCATGAGGGGGTTCTTGGAAGGATCATATGACATAATGAGTAAAAGCTTTCGGTAAACAAAGGTCAGGTGTCGACGCTGTCTTCTGCACCCTGAGAAAACCTTGGGGGTTGTGTAAGATAGTGCTTGCTTTCAGCAAACATGCGCTTTGCCGAAAGGTCCTAACACTGGTACTCAACCTTGTTTTCATTGATTATTGTCCCTGTAAGGAGCCTTTTTAGACTTTTTTTCCCCCTAATTGCCCCATCCGCTCATGAAAATTTAATACTACAGGTAAACTGCAAATCCATTGTACACTATATCTGTGCTTTATACCTAAAAGTTTTTTTAGTTGGCCACCAAGAACCAGCTTTTGCTCTCTTAAGGGCAGTATCGCCCTTGTTGAGAATGTGTGTTCTAATGGCATTTGAACATTGCTCGTGTGCAAGGCCCTGGGCTGAATGAGAACCTGAACTCATGTTCTGGGTCAGAAGCGAGCCCCATAAGGACCGGCACAAACCAAAGAAATGCAGTAGCTGCTGTCCCAGGCTAGGACCTTTCGCATACCGCGGGGGCACCTGGCCAGGGACACCGTGTCAGCCCTCAGCTCCGGCCACACAGAGCCTCGCTCCCCTTGGGCCGCGGGATTGGCAAGGAGCAAACCGTACTCCCGACTGAAGCGTCCAGGAACACCCTCTGAGGGACAGTGAGGACTGGCAGGAGAGAAAAGCCTAAAGGGACTGTAGCGATTGGCTGTCGCCTTTTCCTCAGCAAGAGGGTCAGACAGACACTCCCAGCGTTGGGGCTCATTCGGCTAAAGGTGATGTCTGGAGCCCTCTTTTGCTTTGGAGACCTCCCATCCTGCTCGCATCACGACGTCCTGGAAACCAGAAATCCCCTTAAGGGAGTTAGCCAATCATCATCCACGGCCATTCCCGTGGAGAGCCCAGCGCTGTCAGCGAAGTTTCTGATTGGCTGTTGCAGGATGGCACTGGCCCAGAGAAAATCCCTGCAGCGAGGGGAAGGAGCCCTGCTTTCCCACTGTTCTCTCCAACTTAGATCAGACGGCGCCCCCAAGTGGTCTGTAGGGGTAATGGCTCGCCCTGTTGCCCCCACGAAGTAACCTAAATGAAGCAAAAAGAGAAAGATCTAAACTTGAATAGGGATCAGTCGTGCTGAATAAGAGAGCTCTCAGTCAGAATGCCCGTGGTCGGTTCCAGCTCCACACTAACTCAGTTTCCTTTCTTTCCTGGGCCTCATCTGTCAGATGGGGATCATGATAATACCTGTCTCCATGGGTTGCCATGAAGTTTCAATGGAATTAATATGTTTAAGGTTCGCACGGTGCCAGGCACATAATAGGTACACAATAAGCAATAACTGGTGGAGATCAGTCCACTGATTAAGAATGAACATTATGGCTCGGGTGCCGTGACTCAGGCCTATAATCTCAGATCTTTGGGAAGCTGAGGCAGGAGGATTGCTTGAGTCCAAGAGTTTGAGACCAGCCTGGGCAAGATAATGTGACCCCCCCCCTCAAAAAAAAATAAAATAAAAAGCTGGACGTGTGATGTGTGTACCAGCTACTTGGGAGGCTGAGGTGGAAGGATCACTTGAGCCTGGAGGTCGAGGCTGCAGTGAGATGAGATTGCAAGACTGCACTACAGCCTGGGTGATCGAATGAGACCCTGTCTCAAAAAAAGGCATAAGCATTCTGGCATTGGAAAGAACAGCTGTTGAGTCCCAGCCCTGCATAGCACTAGCATGGTGAAATAGCCTCCCTGTGTCAGTTTCCTCATCTGGAAATGAGACTAACAACACCTACTTTATGGAATTGTGGTTTAATTGTGATAATACCAAGAAACTACCCAATACAAAGCAATCAATAAATGTTGGCTCCTATTATTCATATCATTTAGCTATTATAATTACTCTTTCCCTTCTTCCACCAGGGAAGAGGCCACTTCAGCCTGAGCTGGCCCTTCTGAAAGAGGAATTTTACTAGAATTAGTCTGTAAACCTGTGACATTTACACATATGAAGACAGGACTTGGAAAAATCTCTATATCACACTCTTGCCCACAATTCACATCATTCTTTTAGGCACTGTTTTCTTAAGCCCCATTGGTACCCAACAAAAGCATAACATTATAATTGTTAACTCTTTGGTACAGAATTAGTTTACTAGAGTATCTTTTAAGTCGGCTCTAGTGTTGGACAGTATTCTGAGGGCATTGTACATAGAATGACATATACTAATGAAGATAAGGATTTCAGGGGTTTGAAATCAGAGGACCTAATTCAGCATATACTCCAGGGTGAGCCTGGGTTGGGACCAATGATAGTGACATGTGTGGTGGTGGTTGGGTGATTGGTTGGGAACAGGGAAGTCTAGAGTCTTTGTAAGTCATGGGAAGATCACTAGACTCAGACCTGGAGACTTGAATTCTGGCTGTAACTAGAATTCTCTGGCTGTGTGATCTTGGAGACGACACTTATATTTTTTGAGAACTGATTTCTTTGTAGTAAAATGAAAATAGAATATTCTTTTGTGTAGCGCCTGGCACATAAGCACTCTATAACTACCATTGTTATTTTTCAGTGTTATGAATGATTCCTCCTAAAATGTATGTTGTGAGAATCATGAAAAAAATGTAATCTGTTAAGTCTTTATATTTCAAGAGTGATGAGTGCCTGAAATCACCAAATTAACAGTTTGGAAGTTGGCAAGGGTTGGTCTACCTTTCCTTTCTTTTCTGTCTTGTAGTTTTTATCTCCTCTTCTGTCCCTAATTGAAAGTCTATCCTTCAAGTCACACAAGTGACCCAGTTCAAGAGGACCTTCATAGTTCTTTGGATGCCTCACTACTCTACCATATATTTGACTATCTCCCATCATCTGCCCACATACGTCCTTCCCTTCTGGCCTATAAAAGAGGTCTCTAGCTAAAGTGTAGGCCCTGCATACAGCGGTCTCATGTATCTTTGCAGCCCAAGGATTCTGGAGTTCTTCTTCAGGTGAATGACCTTGTAATTTGAAGGCCAAAGTTTAAGGGAGTACTGCCGAGCACACATACCATGATGGTAGGTGGGTAGGACAGCTGACACCCTCTCCAATTAATCCAGCAACAATTTTTAGTGGGATTACTATAGGCTGGTTACTTTGGAGGCCACATTATTCCATTCTGAAAATATATGTAGAGTTATTTCTCAGTTAAAAATGAAAGAGGCATAGTTTTTAGTGGAAAATATGGGGCTTTTATGTTGGGCAGATTTAAATTTGAATCTGGTCCTTTACTATGTGATCTTAGACTAGTTTCTCATTTTCACAGTTTGCTTATCTATAAAATGGGGAAACTAGAATACCACTCAGTAAAAAGGAGTGAACTTTTGATAAAAGCAACAACATAGATGAGTCTTAAAATGATCATGTTGGGTATAAGATGCAAGACAGATTACACACAGATTCTATTTATGTAAAGTTTTAGAAAATGCGAGCTAATATGTAGTGTCGGAAAGCAGGTCAGTGGTTGCTGGGGACAAGCAAGTGGAGGGAGCAGGAGGAAGGATTATGAAAGGAGACAGGAAAACTTTTGGAGCTGATAGATATGTTCATTATCTTCATTGCAATATGGCTTCCCAGGTATATACATATATCTAAACTTATTAAATTACACATTTTAAATATGTGCAGTTTATGATATGTAAGTCTTTCAATAAAGCTGTTAAAAGGGGATAATAATATCTATTCATAAATAGTTCATGATGTTTTAATGAAGAAAACATGTAAAGTGCCAGAAATACAGCAGGCAATTAATAATGGGTACTCTCTTCTTACGATTTTCATTCTTTAAAAAAAGAACACTAGGAATTAACTTATGTGACAAAGCCTATAAATGACATGAATACCTTAGATAATATAGAATACAAATTTTCCTGCTTTTCTTGGTATTATAGTTGCATTATTATAAAGATTAAATGTTACAATCACATAAGGAAATTTGAACAGTTCTGGGCATGTAGTAAACACTCATGAAATGGTGTGTTGTTGCTTTTACTATTTTGATGGGCTTGATGGAAGGCATGCAGTGAATGATTGGTAAATATTGATTACATATAATTGTAATTATTTTCAGTACTGCAGTGGATGAGGAGGAAGGATTTGATAAAAGATCAAGGAAGTTGATTTCCAAAAGAGTTTACTTTTCTTGAGATTTGATGGGGCTTGAATTTTTGTGTTTCTTTGGTGCTACATTGTGACAGAAGCCATCTGGAAATCTGGAAGAAAGTTGGTCAATATCTTCTACAGGAACATAGCAACTTATTATGATTGTTAATATAGATGATATTAAAGGTAGCAGGAGCATTTATAATGGTCAGTGAATTCAAATGCGATTAAATGGTTTCCAGTCATTAAAAAAGTGGTACTAACATTTGGTAGACACTATCTTATAGTCAGACATAAGAATCTTCTGAGGCACTCCTTAAAATGCAGATCTGTGGGACTTACCTTCATAGTTTCTAATTCAATGGTTCTTGGATGGCTCAGGAATCTACAGTGTAATGCACACACTCAGTGGATTTTAATGCAGGTTACCTGTAGATCATGCTTGGAGAAGCACTGGTCTAAGGCATTTGGGACCTTGGACAGCTCCACATGACCTTGGACCAAGGCTTTCAGGACCCGAGACAGAGCCCAGAATTTCCAACTCCATACATTGTAGGAAATTTACTTTAATTCTCAAGGGCGCTTGCTCGTTTTCCTAGAAACAACACCACCACCACCACCAGCATTCCTTAAGTCTATAATTTTGGAAATGAAAATTTCTGGTTTCTAATGGCCAGTAAGGAGAAGGCACACATGTAGGAGAAAATAGTCTAAGCCCAGAATGCTTAGCTTGGAAACTCTGATGCTGTGAGGGTGCACGTAGTTTTCAAAGGATCTGAGACCCTCCTGAAATTGTATGTGAATTTGTGAGGAAGTTTATACACATATATTTTCGTGGATGGGGAAATTAACTCTTTCTTCACTTGGGTGTGGAAATATTCTGTATCAACCAATGTACATGCTTTTAGGTACAACTCATGTACTTTGATGGACCTCTTAAGATTTGTGTAGGTGACCAGAAAATTTTATCTAAATTCTTCCTTATTTCTCAAGCAACTAAAAATTATATGTATCCCTTCAAATATGACTATATCACTGAAAACAAGCAAACAATCTCTTGAAATGTACAACTCTGACATTTCAAGCTATAATTTGAAAAACTCTCAATTATTGTAATTGAGGTTTATTAAAGTTGGTACAGGACTGGATATATTTGACCTTGGCTAATCTAGAAACTTCATATTACTAAAAGAACTGTCTTACTATAAGCCACAGTTAGTTTGAGAAATGAGATTATTTGGATGACTAAGGAATTTTCTTTATATATTATTTGATTGCTAAATGTTCTTATTTTTGACAGCTTTACCAAAAGACAAGTTGGTGATCATGGGGTATTTAATTAGGTAACATTTGCAGTAGGTCAAACTATTTCTACAGACAAGGTGATAGCAATTAACAATATTTCACTTAGAATAGATTCTCAAAGGTAGCCTATTTAATGGCAAGCAAGCCATCTCACATTCATCACCTGTGACCACCTGTCTGTTGGTAAGCCATAGCTTAATATTTTAAGATGCATAGTATATCTGTAAAGATAAACTTATTCTCTCCAAGACATAGCTGATTTGAACTATCTGTCTTGAAGGTGTTGTTCTTTGACTGTGGAGAAAACTCTCCTGAGTCAGTGCCCAAAAGACATGAACTATTCCAGTGACAGGAGGAAGCAGGGCTGTTAACATGCTCATTAACTCCACAAGAGACCAC